TCCCTGGCTCCTGGAGCAAGTGGGTTTCCCACCTGGTTATGCCCACTTTTCTCCCTTGCTGTCGATTTCAAGGCCTCTCTTCCCTCCCAAGCAATGCTTAATTCTCCCACCTCTCCCTCATTTCTTCTTTTTTTTTTGCTCCCTACCTCTGCATTGTGGCTCCTGTTTGGCTTATGCATTCGGCGCCTGTCTGCACATGTTGCTAATCCCGTGCAAACCCCTGCCACATCCCCCAGGCAGAGCTGACCTTTTGGCACAGGTGTACCAGTCTCATCATTTTCCAGGCTTCTTCTATTAGTTACTAAGATGGTGGGTAAATTTGTTAGGGGGCGGGGAAGCGAACAAGGCAGGTATCACCTACTACAGTTTGTATTACATGATCCAAAAGATTAACAAAATAAGTTAAATTATTTTCAATATTAAGAGATACCCAACTTGTTATAGATTTTATATCAGCAGCAGCAAAGGGATGGGCTTATTAACGTCTCATTAACAATGCCTATTTCAGTTTACATAAAAACCTGAAAACTTCTGAAGCACAATAAAAAGGAAAGCCTTTAACTATCCTGTTTCTCACAGGCTGCAAGTTGCAAAGTATGGAGGAAGCTGATAACGCTCTTTCCGTTCCTGAAGACTTCAAGCGACTTAAAAAATAGTTATATGACATTAGCAAACATTGTTAATAAACTCACTAACAGCTGGCTGAAAAGCTAAAGACAAACATCTACAAAACTGTGGAAGTGTAGCATAATGTAGAAACACCTGAAAATACATCTATTGACAAGGAGGCGTCCAGCACGTCAGGTCAGTCACCGGTAGCTTTGGGCACCATGGAGGGTTTGGCTAGCTGTGTCTTCCAGTATGGGAATACTTGGACCACACCTGATCAGATTTTGCAAGAAGAGATTAAGGGGATAAAATTGATGCAGATGTATCTGTGGCTTCTACACACCACTGGTCACAAATTGTGTTTGTGTTCTTTACCACATGAGTTCAAACGAGTGATTAAACAAGCAACTGCCAACACTTAGCAAAAAGGGACTCCTATGGTATATTAAGATGCCTCTAATAATGCCACACAATGAGGTCCAAATTCTCTTTCAGATCTCTTCCCCTGATACAAGATTTATTAATTTGAGATGTATTTATTGGCATCCAGCTACAGGGAGAAGACAGGTCTGCAGTTGGCTGTGAAAGTTTGCATCATCCTTAAGCACCAGGAAAGGAATTTCCAGATCCAATCAGCAAAGCCTCCGCCCCTACAGTCTGAGCAGTTGTGCTGAGTATCTTTAATCACTCTATCAAATGAAGCCTTCACCACCCTCCTGGTAGGAACAAGTTACTGAAAAACATTCCTCGTTACAATTCCTACTTAGTATTACATTGCAATACATCTGGCAGTGATGTTCGGCTTTTACGTTTAACTAAACCATGTGTACACGCAGTTGGTTTAAGTAGAACATAACACACCGGTATATTTATCTGCATTTATCAGCTCTCCTTCCCTGTGACCTACCAGTAAATAAATATTGCATCAGATGCCTGTGTATATTATACGCGACCTGACTCATCACATCACACGTGGTATTCGTGCTAAATCTGCCTAAAACAGCAAATAACAACGCAGCAGCATCAACAGAGCGTCTTCACAACTGTTTCCTTTTTGGCTACATGCTTACTCTTGCACTGGAAGAGATGCTGTACTAGAGAAGTTGGGTAGTGTTTGCACTTCCACAGCTCCTGGAAGACTAAGACACTCAAAGAGTAGAAATTAATATTCACAAAAGAGCTGTCAAGGGAAAAGGAAAAGTTTTCCCTGAGGTGCACTGTTACAGTACAGTGTGTTTGACTGGCGCTTCGGCTCCCTTTCCTTTCCGGGGAGAAATACGAGATGCATAATCTGTTTGTACTCCTGACTTTTCCCCATCCAATTAGAACATTGTTTCAAAGGACTCCTGCCCTTAAGTAGGCAATATCATCTGACAGGTTTACATAGATGTGGTCTGGGTTATGCCATCTTCCCACATGACAGGCTTCAAAGTAGAAAGTCATGTTGTCTTCCAGAGGGGCAGGGGGAAGGGGTACAACCACAGACTTCTGAGGACTCAAAAGCACATCTCATGCCTGATCTCGCAGGAGCAGACTCATTCACAAGACCTTAGACAATGAACAAAATGTACTGAAGTCTGACTCAGTGCTACCAAAAAAACTGAAGAGACAGGGAAGGTTTATAACTTCAGTGGTCAAAGCACAGCTTTGAACATTATTATATGGCTCAAGAGTGAAAAAAGGCATTTTGCAACCTCGGCTGTCCAGTCTTCTGCTCTGCTACTGTACTGAGTAATGCCAGCGAAGACTGCTAAGATCACTGCTCTGCGGCAAACCAGGTTAATGGACACCTAAATACAGCAAGATCCTCAGATGAAGACAGGCCAGCGAAGTCCATCTATACCTCCTGCTTGTATATTTATGGCTTTGGCTGAGCTCTGGACGCAGCGTACACAAAGGTAGAAGAACAAAGACTGGGATTTTCAAGGGGAACTCAAGGCCTTCTCCATCCTCTGAAACAGTGAAGTGTACACATGATAAGCCAAGAGGGCCACTCCATGCTGTAGTCACATGCTCCGTGGAAGCTGTAATCTCACAAGGACACAGATATGGCCACGCAAATATGGATTATGCCTATGCCAACAACCGGCGTATGTCCCTAGAGCTCCTAAATGGCTTTTAATCTAGCTGCCAACATGTGTGAAAGCTTGTTCTGAACCAGCTTCATTTCTCTTGTGCTCCTGTTAGCCAGGAACATGCTACCCTTCGATATCCTGACTTGAGAGGTGAGGGCATAAGCTGGCAACTTCTTGGTTTAAACCTCTGGGGGTCAAAAGGAGAGGAGCTGCCTGCCACACCGGGGACAGATGTCACGATTGCAGGCAGCCAACACAGCAGGAGGGCAGTTGGTAACAGGCATTGAGAAACCAGCTACATTTTCAACATCTCCTTCAACCAAACCACCTCCAACAGAGTCCTCACAAAACCCAGGCTGAAGCTAGCATAGGTATACTTATCTGTGTTATCACCACTGCTTCACTGCATAGCTTATCTTGCGTGAAGTAATATATAACACTGTGAAATCCTAGTACAGGCTAAACAAGTTGTAACATACCTCTGGTGGTGATAAGCAAACCTAAGTGCAGAGCGTTAGAAGGTAATCGTCTTTGCGTCTGCTCAGCACCAGCCTGTGCAAGGCTCCTGCGTCAGAGAGCTGACAGCAAAATTTCAGACCTGGGGGAGGCAGAAAGCAGACACAGGAGGGAGAAATGCCGCAAACATCTTAAGGGGAGGGCTTGGCTTAATGGATGTTTGTCATTATTGAATTCAGTCATGGGTAAAGGCCAAACTTCCCTAAGACAGCCTGAAAATAAGAACCTGTCTCTGTTTCAAGACCCATCCATAGATACTTTCCCAAGGCCACTACGTGCACCAGGCATTTGGCTCGGCAGGTGCTCGGCATCACTAGATGCACAGAGTAACGCTTGACCGAAAGCGTCTGAACTTCTGCCGAGAGCAGCGCCGGTCCCTCTGCGCAGCGGTGGCCGGGGGGACCTCAGAGAGAGGGGGCCTTTGTGCAGCCCTCGAGATGACTCCTGGTACCAGAAGTGACCTGGCACAGGAGCACAGCTGAATCACAGCTGCAGCAATTACAGTAATTGTCCAAGGGACAAAACAATTGCACTTGTCTGACTGGTCAGGGCATGACGGGAGCCCGACACATTTTTCTTTGTGAAAGCATTTTGCCTTGAAGAAAATTTCCAAAACAAAGTCCCTTTAACTCCAAGCCTGTCCAGACTTCTTCCTGGCAGGTGCAATTTATTCTTTCTAAAAAGGAGAGCATTAAAAGAGATGTTACCCAGGAGAGCGAGATCTCACTGCTGTTGGCTTTCACCGCCATCTGTGAAGGAGGTAACCCTGAATTTCCATTACACTGTGATGGGAACTGAGGTCTCGACTCCAACCAGCTCCCTGAAAAACACCGAGGGTGCAGCTCAAGGTCCCTTTTTCCTGGTTGCACCTCTGTTCTTCATCAAATGGGACTGACTCCATTACAGAGCTCATCCCTGGCCCCATGTGAGCCAGGCTCTCCGGCCCCTGCCTCGGGGCTGGTGCTTCCGCGCAGCACGGCTCAGCAGCCGCAGTGGGAGAGCTGGAGAAAGGCCCATCTTGAACTTGCTGGTGCCCAAGCCGTGGAGGAAAACTGTGATTGCTCATGCTGGGAGCTGCACCCACACTCACAGATAATCAAGGCGGCACACAGAGCCACGCATCTGACACAGAGCTGTGCTTCACACTGCTTTCAGAGGCCAAAATAATCCAGGCTGACGCACAGTTACAGGTGCTGGACTCGCTGCGGGTATAAACCCAGCACCAACCAAGAACCCTAGAGACTCCACCAAGCTCCCACAGGTGCAAACAAAGCAAAGCAAGGGACCTTCCCCTGCCATTGTCCACAGGGGCCACTGACAGCATTGAACATCCTGACCAATACAGCAAGGGGAAAATCCGGAGGTTTCTGCCTATTTCTTCAGGACCACAAATCAATGGCAAAACTGATGGGGAGAGGCGAGACTGCCGCAGAGGGCCGCGGTGTTGTGGGGCTGGAGGGCTCCAGCAGTCTCCATGGTTGGCGGAACTCAGAACCGGTGTCCAGGCACTGTGGTCACCTTGGTCACCCCAGCACGTTTGGGTCCCAGCACGGCTCCGTGGCAGTTTTCCCTCCCTACCTGGCACGAGTGAGGCCCCGGGGAGAGGAGGTCTGTGTGCCATGGAGGAGACGGGCTTTAAAGATGAAGTGGACAGAGCCAGGGCAAGGGATGGCAGCAGGGATGGCACGGACGGCCAGGTGAGCACGGGCAGGGAGATGGGCACATAGCGAGAGCAAAGCAGAGCCCAGCTTCAATTTCACCTCTGAAATGTGGTTTGGAATCAAATTTGCAGAGAAGTAATCTTCTGAGGGAGCAGAGCATGTCAGAGAGGAAAGGACTTCTCTTCCTACGCACTTCAGCATGTTTTAAACACAAGCTTATGTCGCCTTTTAAGTCAGTTATGTAAGTGTTACTTTCCAAAAGATGAGTGGAGGAGTTACCTACAGAAATGTTGACACAGGAAAACCAGCCATTGCCCTTTGCAAGAGAAAATATCCCCCTCCCCAGACCAGGGAGATGCAAGTGCAGTGGCTGAGGACTTTGTGTTGTTTTCAGTCTGGCTTTGCAGCAGGTCAGCCATGGTACCTTTGCTATCAATAAGAGCTGCAGATGGAGCAGCGCGGCGTTACGACGAGCCCACTGTAACCACATATTTCCACTTAACAAGTGACTGCCAGCCCGTGTTTGATTAATGCCATTAGGAATGAGTGGCCATTGTTTACCTGGTAATTTATTAGAGGGAGGCTTTCCAAACGGGACTTCAAGTAGGCACCTAATTCTTAGGGACTTTTAATTATAATTGAATACCTGGCTTCATTAGGCACCTCTGCAAACCCTATCTGAAATGCTTTGGCAGGAAGAGAAATGCTTCTGAGCCTCAGGACAGAGTTTGTCCTTGGCCCTTTTTTTTAAAGAGAGGATGCAAGATTTGCATGAACTGGAAGGCTAACCTATGGCTTTGACAATTTGCAGACCACCGAGAAGGATCGGGCTGGCCCAGCGAAGGAGGCAGCCTTTGTAACGGGCAGTGAGAGTGCTCTGCCATGCAAGACCCCGCTCATCCGCTGCGCAGACGGCCTCGATCAGGACACCTTTAAAATCGTAAGATACTAAATAGAATTTAGAAATAGAAAAAAAGTCAGTGGCATCTCAGGTTCTTGAGAGTGAGGGAGCAAATAAAACCCAGGAGTTTGGCAGAGGGCGCAAAAAGGCAGGACAAGAGACTTCATTCTGTAGCTTTTGTCCATGTCTGAAAGTTTTTACCTCATCATTGGTTTCCAGTCATCTGGCCATCACACTTCTAGTTTAAAAAAAGCCTCACAAAACAAAAAAACACAAAAACCCCCAAAACAACAACAGCAAAGTAATCACATTTCACATACACTGTTCATTTTTTTGAAACAAGTACTGCTACATTATCATTTCACATGATGCCATGTGCTCCCTGGCTGCAGTGGTTTGGTTCCTCTGCATCACTTACACCACAGCCACAAAGCTCCATCTCATACCAGCCTCCCCCACCGTGGGGTATGACCTTCCCCGTTCCTCATGCATCATGGCACAACCACACACAGCCCACCCCAGTCATGGCCCAGCGCATGTAGCAGACAAAAAAAAAAAAAAAAAAGATGGACCAAAGGGAGGGCATCCAGGCGCAGTGTTTGCTCCAGATGCGGCGTTTGCTCCTGCGTCACGTGCGAACATTTGCAACACATCCCAGGTTTGGCCACAGGAAGAAGCAGCATGAGAAAAGCAGTGAAGTAGTTCCCTTTCCCCCTCCCTGCAAAACAACAGCTCTTTTGTAGCCTGAGATGTCTCTCTCGCCCTACAATGGTAAAAAGGAATTCCCAGTCTTGGAAATCCCTCAATTCCCTTTTCATGTCACCTTGGACATGCTTCACCCAGGTTGTCACCAACCTTGGGACATACAGGAGCGACTCCTGCAGCGCGCCAGGAG